CTGAAAAAACAAGTCAGAGGCAGGAATGTTCTGAAGACAAGGGGGTCTGGAAAGAGCCAACACAGGGGCAGTGCTTGGCTGGATGCTCCACGCTGCCAGCAAGGCTCTCCTGGGGAGCAGCCCTGGTAATCTGCAGAGGAGCTGCTCCAGCCACAGCACCCCAGGAGAAAGGAGATCCTGCCCAGCTGCTGGGGAAAGCTTTGAACTGTGCCCACCATCCAGCTGAGGTGTGTGGAAACCCTCTATAGATGGAGGATCAAAGCCTGGGTCTCAGGCTGATTCCATCAACATGGCACCAAATGCAGCAGACAATGAGAACCAATGGTCACCTGTGATTTACAGCTTCAAAATATTGGGAAAGATCAAAACAAGTCCTTTGTCAATTAAACTGGAAACAAGGAATGGAAAATGCTGGGGAAGAAGAGGAAAAAGATCCCAGAACAAAGAGCTAAGGTGGCTCCATGGAGGCTGTGGCTGAGGTTGGCTGTGCCATGAGAAGTGCCTCCAGGCTGGGATTTTTTAGACTCAGTTTCCCATGCCTTAGGTTTGGGAAAGGATCACAGGGATGTTGGATGCAGGAAAGGCTTTTCTGGAGGAGAACCTGGCTTAGCTGAATCACAGCCACCCGTGGATCTGTGCTCCCCAGAAAAGAATGCCAAAATTACAGAGTTACCACTACAGTAGCAAAGTTCAACCAGAACCAAGACAACTGCACAAAGTTCAGTAGTAGGACACAAATATTTGGTGCCAGGAGTAATTAATCACTGTCCTTTGCAAGATGCTTTGGGGCAAAATGAGAGTTAAATTCCAGGTGGTGCAACAGCCTTTGTCACCCCTGAACTGTCTCCAGCCCCAGATGCCAATGGGCTCCAGTGTCTCACATCCTCACTGTGACAGATGAACCCCTGTCCATTCAAGGGCATTTTGAGGACATTGTGTGGGAGACAGGGAGCCCCCTGTGCTCCAAGTGCAGCATCCCCTTTCCTGTGGGTTTGACAGTCCATGGTGGGTACCCAGCCCTCAAGTGACACTGAAGGAGGAGGCTTCAGCCCCATGGTCCCCTCTCCTGAGACAGCTGCTCCCAGGGAAGGACTGTACCTCATGGCATTTGTGAGGAAGCAAGAGCTGGCACAAATATCCATCAGCACTGAACAGGCAAAAGTGGCCTGTTAGACGCTTGCCTGGGTGGCGTTTCCTGAGGAGATAATAGCCCTGGAAGAAGGACTTGCTGTTTTGGAGAAGATTAAGTACCTGTGGCAGCAGCATGCGGATGAATCACAACCCTCATGGGCTTAGAGACCCTGGAAATGGCTTATGGCACTTTGAAAACAATGTCATGAATCTTCTGCAGATCAGATTAGGGAGTGGAACAATTATCTCAAAACCTGTTAGTCATGGGAGGCTCCAGGAGCTGGAGGAACAGCCTAGGGCAAGGGGAGCACTAGGAAGATGTGGTTTGTGTGTCCTCCCTCCCAGGGACCTGCTTGAGCAGCCCCAGGAAAGGTGTGGGAGGTGGCTGTGGTTGAACCAGCCCTGCTTCCCCTGTGAAAGGTGAGCTGTAATTAGCAGAACGGGTACGGAAGAGCTCAAGTAGGTCAAAAGGTAATGGGGCTATCACCGGCGTTTCCCAACAGCACGGCGCGGCTGGGAGGCACCTCAGGGTTGGGCAATGGGCAGATGAACAAGGCCAGGCACTGTCTTCAAGGGAAGAGCCACCAGTCACCCTGACTGCACACCAGCCTTCTGAGGAAAGCTGGGGAGCGGCCAGAGACAGCAAATGGTGCTGCTGGTTCAGCCCCACCACATGGGGCCTGTGGTGAGAAAACCCACAGAAAGCCCTGAGTGGTGTGACAGAGCACCACAGTTATCTACAAACCTATCCTGAGGTGTCCCACCTCAGGGCATCCCGAGACCATGTGTGAGGAGATCTGGAAGGGATGGATGCAGGGATGGATGGATGGATGGATGGATGGATGGATGGATGGATGGATGGATGGATGGATGGATGGATGGATGGACGGACATCCAATCTAGCTCTCAAGGGGTTGTGGAAATTCATGTTGCAATTTGGGAATGGCCACATCTACCCTCTGTGAAATACAGACATGGGTACAGACTCTACATTCTGTCTGTCCCTGCAAAGCACCATATCCCTGCCCCCACTCCCTTGCATGCCCCAGCACTTCCAACTTGGCCAGCACAGTAAGGGATGGCCTCTCATGGAAAACAACCTTTCTCCAACAGGAATTTTCAAGCCCTGGTGAAGTGATGTGTGGTGAGGTTTAACCAGGTCCTCTTCAAAGCCCAAGTTCCCTGAGGCTCTGCTTTGTGGTCACCTCTATTGTTTTCATCAGGTTCAGTAGCCCAGGGCTGCAAGCAAGCAGATTCCTGTGGGAGAGCCCGCGGCCATGCTGTTGGGAGCATCCCTCCTCCTCCTCTCCCTTGCCGGCTTCCCAACATTCCCTTGAGCACTTCAAACTCAGCTGGGTGACACCACCACACCCCAGCCAAACCACCCCAGCCTGTTCCACTCTGTACTTCTGCAGCTGTTGCCATCCCTGCTGATGAAATGTGGTTTCCTGCCAGTACCAGGGAGGCTGTTTCCAATAAGGATGGCACAGGCATCCCTGGCACGTGCTGCCACCACCACAGGGCTCGGGGGTCTGGTGGGGCAGCCAGTGCTGATGGCAGCACAGCTGGCAGGGCCTGGCTCCACCAGGGAGGGAGAGGTGTTGGTGATGGCACGTGGGAGCCCAGAGAGTGCCGAGAGTCAGGCCCACGGCAGGGACGCACGAAGGATCACCGAGTACGGAGACTTGGTGAAATATTAAAGCAGGTGCTTAATAAAGCGAGCCCAGCGGCAGCAATTACCCTGTGTAATTAACCTGGGAAGGAGAGGACTTTGTCCCCCAGCCAGGTGGTGCAGGGAGCTCCTGCCAGCAGCTGCTGGAGGTGGCACAGACCTGGCACCCAGCACTGCATGGCAGGGCTTCCCCAGGCTTTGCTGGGGCAAGCCAGGAGCTGAGCTCCCAGCATGGCTCACCCTGCTGCAGCCCCAGAATCACACCAGGTACGTGAGTGGCAGAGCACTGCCTGCTCTGGGTGCTGAGAAATGGTTTGAGATCCCCCTGGAGTCATTGTCCCCAAGTCACGGGGAGCAGCTGGGAGAGATTCACACCTCACCTGCCTGCTCTGGGCACTGAGGAACTGAGCATGGCTGGCCAAGGCAGCAGGAGCTGGGCAGCCCACTGCTCCTAGAGTGCTCCCCAGCAGGGCCTGAGGGCACTGCCCTGTGCAGGGGGACCCGATCGAGGGGTGGCCCTGACGGTGGCCATGCCCTGTGCTCCCCCTGTCCCAGTGGGGCGTGGGTGCTGGGGGCACTGGTTCTGGCTTGGGCAGCCTCCCTGGATGCAATGGCACTTCCTGCTAGGAAGCTCTGCCTGGACAGGCACTGAGCCAAGCTGTGCCAGGCCAAACTGAGCTGAGCTAAATTGAACCAAGCTGAGCTGAACTGTGCTTACCTAGGTGGGATGACATGCTGAGCTGTGCCAAACCAAGCCGAGCTGAGCTGTGCTGTAGGTGCTGTATAACCAAGCCATACTGAACCAAATTGAACCATGATGGGCTGAGATGAGATGAGCTGTGCCAAGCTGAGTTGAGCTGAGCTGTGCTGAGCCGATCTGAGCCAAATCAAGCTGAACTGTTCCTACCTAGGTGGCATGATGTCCTAAGCCGGGCTGAGCTGAGTCATGCTGAACCATGTCAAGCTCTGCTGAGTTAAGCTGTGCCTATTTAGGTAGCATGATGTCTCAAGACGTGCTGAGCCAAGCCAAGCTAAGCTGTGTCAAGCTGAGCTGTGCCTGCCTAGGTGGTACCTTGTCCTGAGTTGTGCCAAGATGAGCTGAGCCATCCTGTACATGGTATGACATCCCAAGCTGTGCTAAGCCAGGCCGAACTGAGCTGAGTCTACCTGAGTGTCCTGACTGTCCTGAGCTGTGCTGAACCAAGCTGAGCTGAGATGAATTGCACCTATCTAGGTGGCAAAATGTTCTGAGCTGAGTCGAACTGAACTGTGCCAAGCTGAACCATGCCTACTGAGGTGCCACAATGTACAGGGGAGGGCTCAGCTGAGCTGAGCTGGGCCAAGCCAAGCTGCGCCAAACTGAGTTGTGCCTTAAATGGGTGGCATCGTGTCCCAAGCAAGACTGAGCTATGCCAAGCTGAGCTGAGTTGTGCCTATTGAGGTGGCACAATGTCTTGTGCTCAGCTGGGCCAAGCCAAGCCAAGCCAAGTCAAGCCAAACTGTGACTATCTGGCACATCATCATCTCCTGGTCTGTGTTGAGCTGAGCTGTGCAAATTGAGGTGGCATGGTGTCCTGAGCTGTTCTGAGCTGAGCTGTGCCAAGCTGGACCAAATTGAATTGTGCCTACTTAGGTGGCAAAATGTCCTGAGCAGGGCTGAGCTGCACTGAGCTGTGCTGACCGAGATGAGCCATGTCTACTGAGCTGGCAAAATGCCCCAAGCTGTGCTGAACTGAATCTACTTGGGTGGCATCATGTCCCTAGCTGAGCTGAGCTGAGCCATGCCAGACTAAGCAACACTGAACGCACCTACCTAGGCAGCAGAATATCCTGAGCAGCACTGAGCCAAGCCAAACCGTGCCGAGCCGAGCCGAGCCGTGCCTACCCAGGCAGCACGATGTCCCAAGCCGTGCCGCGCAGTACCGCGCCGAGCCGAGCCGAGCCGAGCCAAACCGTGCCGAGCCGAGCCGAGCCGAGCCGAGCCGCGGGTACCAAGGTGCTCCGCCTTCCCCCCTCCCCGGCCGCCGGTGCCGGTGCCCGGCGCTCCCGGTGCCCGGCGCTCCCGTCCCGCCCGTCTCCCATTGGCGGCGGCCGGTCCCGCCCCGCCCCGCTCCCCCGCCGGGCGGCTATAAACGGGCGCGGCGGGGCGGGCGAGCGGCAGCGGCGGGGCCGTGCCGGGCCCGGGATCGGGACCGGGATGGAGCCGGGGCTGGAGCGCTGGGCGCACGGCGCGCTGTGGGCGGCTCTGGCCGGCAGCCTGGCGCTGCGGGCGGCGCGGCGGGCGCCGGGGCCGGGCCGGGGGCTGGGGCCGCCGCTGGGCCGGGGGCTGGTGCTGCCGCTGGCGCTGCTGGCCGCGCTGCAGAGCCTGTGCCGCGCCTGGCTGCCGCTGCCCCTGGGGCTGGCCCTGGCCGCCGCCGCCGCCGGGCTGCTGCTGTGGCGGGCGGCGCCCCGCGGGCTGCTGCCGGTGGCGGGCAGAGCCGTCCTTGTCACAGGTGAGTGCGGGGACACGGCCTCGACGCCCCGACGGCACCGCCTGGGCTCGGCGGGGAGCGGAGTGGGGTGTCCCGCAGGCACCAGGACGCTGCTGTCTGTGGGGTCCCGCTGGGGACCAACCACCGCTGCCAGCGCATCCCTCACCCTCTTCCACGTCCAAGCAGAACCGGCTAGGCTGTATCTGCCCCGCGAAGCAGGGAGTTGCAATGGCCCCTCGAGTGTTGACCACTAGTTGCAGCATGATGCCGAGAGCTGCTTCCTCTGGAAGCCCTGAGATTAGATGGGACAGAGCTGGCTTTGGACCCCGTCGGCTGGCCCAAGGGCTTCCCTCTCCTCTTTCCCCCTTCCCTTCCTCCCCTCTGGAGTTGTACTTGTTCTTGGAAAGGTTCTCATAGTATCTCTAGAGGGTTCAACAGGGCTGGCTACCTAGTGCTGAGCATCACTGCTTCATCCAGAGCTCCATCCAGGGAGCTGCTGGCGACAAGGTCCTCCACTGTGTGGGTATCCTTGGGAAATGCTGCCCAGCTGCTGCCTGCCTCCTCTTTGGGCTGCCTGGTCCAAAGCTTCTCTGTGGTCCTGAGCTCCTTAGAGAATGTGCTATGCTCCCAAGCATAGCACAGCTCTGGCTTGCTGGCTGAAGCTCTTTAGGATATCTTGGTATATACATGGTTTCTCATTCCTTCCTCCTGGCAGTGGAGCTGCAGGATGAGAGCCAGGGTCAGCAGCGCATTGCTGTGAGGCAATGGTCGTGGATAGATGAGGAGGAAGTGCTGGAGCTGGGGTGGTTTTTGCTCCAGGTGTGCCTGGAAGGTGCTGCTGGCTCTGCATGGATGCAGAGGGGAGGGAAACTTCTGGGCATGACCTTGGCAGTGCTTCCAAGGACAGGAGCCTGCATCCTGGTGGGGATGTCTGTGCTGGGCTCGGAGATGCTGAAGCTGGAGAAAGGAGTTTGCTTGTTTCCTAGAAAATTAAGGCAAGACCTGGGTCCCCCTTCCAGCTTGAAGGGTTCTGTGGCAGCAGTAGGAAGTGCAGCAAATCCTCTCTGGAGGAGGAAGATCAGAGGAGCAAGGCAGTGGATGAATGAATGATTCAACTGAGTGAAGGTCAAAGCTGCAGCAGGGTAGGGCTGCCTGGGGAGGATGTCTGACAGCCATGCGCTCACAGGTGCCCTGTGGCACACCAGCTCTGGCAGCCCTGGCTCCCTGGCATTGCCTATATAATTAGTGAGTCAGTGACTGGAACAAGGTGTTCTTGCCCCAGTGCGTTGAGGTGGCACCTCTGCAGCTCTGATGTGTTTGCTCTTGGCTGTAAATACTTTGTGGTTTTACAGGTTCGAGGCGCAGCCCGTGGTGCGGGATTGGCGTTTCCGTGCTGCTGCTCTGGCAAGTGCCTGCCAAGGGGCAGATGTGAGGGCTGTTTTGCTGGGGATGGCATCCCTCACTTGAGCATTTGCATAGTAATTAGCCTGATTCTTTTATGGATTAATTCCAGCCAACTAGGTATTGAGTAGCTGCTCGTGTCTCCTGTGGGAGCAGCCTGGAAGGATCAGCTCAGGGAGAAAGGCAGCCTGACCTTCTTCCTCTTGCCAATGGGAAGCAAAGCCTGGCAGAGAGAGCAGCATAAGCATGGATGGCTGGCAATGCTGGGCCTCACTGAAGGTGTGTGAGGTCAGGGACAGAACTTCTGCCATGCTGTGTGTTGTGCTGGACCTTGCAGATCAACTGAGAAATGGCACAAAGTCCCCTCCTGATGGAGCAGTGCAGGTTTCAGCCTGAAAATCTTTGGGCATCATTTCCTTGTATGCATATCTTGGCCGCTGTCTTAATCCTGCAGCAGGTTCAGTGATGCTTATCTGGGGCAAGTTAAGGTGGCTGCAGTGCTGCTCTATCTCCCAGGTGATGAGTTTCAGCTCTTCGAGCTGCCCACTCTCTCCAGGAACAACCCTGAGTTGAGCTCTGCATGTGAAGCTCCAGCCCCATGTGCTGTTGGGACATCGCTGGCTAAATAAAACTTAATTGTGGCAGGGATTGAAGGAAAACTAACTGTGCAGCTCAGTGGGAAAATAGCAGAGCAGCTGTAGGGCTGCTGCAGAGCAAAGCTGCTGACCCTGTGGTAGCAGCAGGGGCTGGAAAGTTGTGGCGTTTCCCATCTGCTGCAGGTTTGCATTTTGACTGTTGCACGTGGGACTGGGGTTTGGCTGGAGCAGGGATGGGCAGCCACCTGCTGCTAGAGGGGAGTAAGGGATGCTGTGCTTTCCCATGAGGCATCCCCTGGGCTAGCAAAGTGAGTGGTCACTAGTCTCTGCAGTGCTGTGTTTGTCTGGGGCTGTGACCTTGGTGCTTTTGTTTTGCATCCCTATGGTCCAGCTTCTCCAGGAGTGTGGCTCCAGTGGATGCAGCCTGGCTGGGGGCAGAGGGTGAGGAAAGTGTTAATCCTGTATTCCTAGGAGATGTAACAGCTGTTTTCAGGGAGGAGGAGAATGCCCTCCTGTGCAGCCAGGGGCTGGGAGAGGTCAGCCCCAGGAGGATGGTGGGGATGAGGAGGGGAGAGGAAATCAGCTGCTTGGCCTGGGCTGGGAGGGAGACAGCAGCTATCTCCATGCCTCCCTTGGTTTGCTGTCCTGGGCCTGCCCTTGCCTTAAAGATGAGCCCACACCTGGCACAGGCTTTAGCCAAACTCAGAAAACCACAAGGTACAAACATACCTGCAGTGTGGGCAGGGCTGGTATGGGCAGCTGCCTGACCAGAGCCTGATCCAGCACAGGGAAGCTGCAAGGCAGCCAATACCTGGCATCCCTCACCACAGGGTGTGACAGGGCACTCCAGGGTGCTGGTGCTGCTGGCTGGCACCTGTGGCCAGTGGGGGCAGTGGCTCACTGAGAGCTGCTGGCTCCCAACAACAAACAGCTGGTTTGTGTGTGCATCCCCCTTCCCAAATGTGAAATGGCACTGCTGGGTGTTCCTAGGGCCACTGGACTCCACAGAGCTGTGTGAACAAAGAGGAGGAGTATTATATCCCATACTGCTTCCCACTGGGAATTGATACAAAAAGCAGTCCAGCCTCTGGAGCAGGGCAGGGCTGATGGTCTGCAAGAGCAGTCTTGGAGGGAGGTGATGAGCTGCCATTTCTTGGCCTCTCCAGATTTAGGCTGGCAGTGCATTGTGCAAGACTGGGCTTTGGCTGGGTCAGTTTAGACATGAACCTACAACATCCTTTGGTTCCTGTGGTCTTAGCAGATGCCTGTGGAATTCAGTGAGTCTATTGAAACCATCCAACTCAACTGGGTGCCTGGAGGTGGTGGAGGGATGGCCAGGAGCATCCCCGGGCTCCACTGAGCAGCTGGAGAAGCCTCTTGCTGTTGTGTAGCTCTGCCATGTGTGACTGTGTGGGGTGGTTCTTTGGACAGTAGCCAATTGCCCGATTTACTGCAGATCCTTGAAAAGCACCAAATGCAAATCAGCCCAGGGAGTCTGCCTGCCTGCAGGGCTTTGCCAGAGCAGAGGAGGACAGGAGTTATGATATTGGTTCATATGCTTCAGCTTGGATGGAAAGTTGAAAATAGTGAATTGTTGTTCTGTCTATAATGGTGGTACCTGAATTAGCTCTCCAATAACATCAAACATCAGGATGGCTGCCTGAGAGAAGCAGTCTGGGTCTCTTGTATCCTTGCTCTTCCTTGGTGCAGCCTGTGAAGGAAGCTAGGAGCACCTGCAGATTGGTCTGTCTTCCAACAAATCATCTCTGTGAGCAAAACTGGTTGTTGGTCAGGCTGCCCAGACCCAAACCTCCCCTGTCCTCTCTTCTCCTTCCTGGCTGCAGGGAAAGTGTGGTTTTCCTGGTGAAGCGTTCTTGTTACAATTGCATGCCCCATTAACAATCTGAAATGGGTCAGAGCTTCAGATCATGTTCAAGGTTAACAGAGGCTTTGCAACTTGCAGTGCTGCAGTATTTCCCATGGACTCCACAGATGTTGAAGCATCTGCTGGCTGCAGCAGGACTGAGTGATTCAATCCAGATGTTGGGACTCTTGCTTTCTGCCATGAAGGTAAATCCCTTTCTGTGGTAAAAAAAGCAGTCTGGACTTTGATGTTGTCGTAGATCTATTTTCCAGCTAAACAAGGTGACTGAGAAATGCCGGGGTCAAGGATTCAGGGCTGGCTCTGGGATGGGCACCTCTGCACCACGGCGTGGCCAGAGCACCTGCAGAGCACACTCACAGCCTGTGTTTGGTGCTGAGCCTGCCAGCAGCCTTGCTGTGAGAAATGCTTTGTGCAAAGGTGCTGCAGCTCTCCATAGGTGACTTTCACTCTGCTTCTGAAGCCAGTGATCCAGCTCAGAGTATCTGGGATCTTTCCCCAGCCTAAGTGCAGGGGGTTGGAACTAGGTGCTCTTTCAGGTCCCTGCCAAACAGAACCATTTTGTGATTCTATAAGTGAAAGTTGAAAATCAGCTTATTCCCTGAAATTGCTCTGATTTTTCCAGAATCTATTAAAAATTAACAGCAGAGGCAGCTGCTGCCTCCAAGCTGAGGGGTGGGACAGGACCAAAATCAAACACCCAAACTCCAGCCCTGGTGTACAAGCAATTCCTGGTATACTTGAAGTTAAAAAAATGCAATATTTAACTCTAGTTATAGGGTTTGCTGCTGGCTTTTGGGAACAGAGCAGGAAAGCTGTTTTTTCTGCCTCTATCTGCAGGGCTGGAGCTCTCCCCCCGCTTTGTCAGCAGCCCTCCATGGATTTAGGATTCTTCTTTCCCACGTGAGGTTTCTTCAGAAATAGATACCTACCCCTGCTCACCACAGGCATGTGGATAGATACGCTCGGCTTTTTCTCACTTATCTATAAAATAAGCACTTTGGAAGCCTACTAATGACACAGACCTGTTGAGGTGGGAGTTTTTAG